AAGTCATGATCAGGGCAAGCATTTTATCCCAGGAACTTAGGGACACCTTTAAAAAAAAAGTAGCTGGGTGCCATTGGCTCATGCCAGTAACCCTAGCTACTCAGGAAGCTGAGATCTGAGGACCAGGGTTGGAAGCTATCTCTAGCAGGAAAGTCCATGAGACCCTTATCTCCAATTAGCCACCAGAAAACAGGAAGTGTGACTCAAGTAATAGAGCTCTAACCTTGAGCAAAAAAGCCCAGAGACAGTACTCAGGCCCTGAGTTCAAGCCCCATGAGTGAGGAAAGAAATTAAAAGATGTGGTCTTATTTTAAAAGCTTACTAGCTGTTGTGCATTGGCTGTGCTGGGAAAGGGAGGAGAGGGACACTGAACCTTGAGTTCTCCAGGAGATAGAGAGCAAGAGAGACTTGTCAGTGGGTGGGATGGGTAGGACTGGAGAGATTTGGCTGGTGCCCATGAGTAGCTGTGTCATGTGGTGAATCTTCTAGAGCCCTGTGTTTGGGCGCTGGAACATTAAGTTCAGGTCCAGTTACTTTAATATCGGAGGTGAAGTTTATCTTGGTTGCTTCCCTCTGTGAAGCCTCTTCCCTGCGGAACTCAAACTCCCCACCCTTCTCTGCCAGGTGGTGCACCAGTGGCCTTTCAGCTTGGCCAGCTAATTCAGAGTGTTTCCTATTTTGAGTTTATTTCTGTCTCTCTCATTTAAACTTCCTTCCTTTTTGATAATCCCAGCAGAGCTCCGCCCAGTGTTTTCCATAAAAATGATTTGTTAATCGTGTGTCGAGGCTTTTGGGGATGATTTTAAGGTTAGCATAAACAAAAGCATTTTCCAGAAAGGAAGAAAATCTAATAGTGTTCCAGATCTTAGTGAAAACACGTCACAACCAGGGGAATGCTGGCATATGTGGTACTTTTTGAGTTCATTCCACAAATCCAAAAGACTGAGGATATATAATTCTATTTAATAACAAGATTACATGGAGTAATTAAATACTTCCTTTATGCCAAGGTCTTTCCTGTAATAAATAAACCTTTCAGAGTTCACTTTGCACTTACTAATGGTTTTAAATGATTTTGATTAGGAAAGATTCTTTTCATTAATCAGGTGTGGGGGGAAAACACCTAGAACATTCAGTCAGTATAAAAAATTGGCAAATATCATTCATTCTTAAATTCCCAGCCATTGGATTCCTCCATGGATAGTAAAACTATTTTTTTTAATAGAGCTCCACACATACCGTAACAATTACTTTGTAAATAGCTATTCCATTTTAAGTGTATGGAGAGTCTACTGAAATAAGTAAATTTTCATTTGTAGTGCTTCACATCCTCTCTTAGTGATTCAGTGTTAAACTTGGTGTTGGTGGGAGTTATAGATTCCAGTCACTTACAGGTTTTGTGCCTATGATAATGTAAAAGAGTGAGTCTTTCCCAGTATCACAAAGCTCCTCATGTTACTTGGTGTTGGAACATGGCCTTTGGGGAAAGGAGTTGGAGGGAGCAAGGTATGTAAGACTCTTTCTCATGTAGTGTCTTGAAAAACACAGGGCCAACTTCTAGATTATTTCAGAGGTTATTTCCCCCTCTGCCCTCCCCCCAAATTGAACTAGGATGGTTTTTTCTTTGCTTTTGGTACTGTGGTTTGAACTCTGGGATTCACTCATGCTTGGTAGGCAGTGATTCTACAATTTGAGCCACACTTCTGAGACTTTTTGCTTTTACTTTGCAGTTAGAATCTTGTACTTTCCCCCCAAAGTTGGCTGAGACCCAATCTTTCTACCTGTACTTTCTGTGTACCTGGGTTTATAGACATGGGCCACAAGCTCAGCAGGTTTATTCATTGAGAAAATGTAGAAAATATATTTTTTAAAAGATAATATAATTAAGAAAATATAAAGAAAATGAAACTTAACTCCAACATGAAGAGGGAACATTCCACTGTTAATCTCTTGAGAACATTTATTTCTTGTCCTCAATCTCTGATTTGAACATTGCCTTCTGCCGAACTGTTTGGTTTCATTTCAGGGAGGTCCGATTTTGATCCTCTACCACTTCCCCTATGATTGGTGCCTCTTCTTGCAGTGGGGTCTCAGAGCCTTTGGAATAATTAGGAATGACTTCAGTTTGAATTCATAACTTTTTTTTTTGGTCGGTGTAGGGCTTGAACTCTGGGCTTGGGTGCTGTCCCTGCGCTCTTCAGCTCAAGGCAAATGCTCTACCGCTTGAGCCACAGCACCACTTCCGGTTTTCTAGTGTTTTATTGGAGATAAGAATCTCACAGACTTTGATGCCAGGGCTGGCTTTGAACCGAGATCCTCAGATCTCAGACTTCTGAGTAGTTAGAATTACAGGCGTGAGCGACCGGAGCCTGGCTGACTTCATAACTTTTATGTAGTTGTGTGTGTGTGTGTGTGTGTCAGTGTGTCAGTGTGAATGTTTACTGGAACTTAAACTGAGGATTAGGGCTTTCTTAGCTTTTTCACTCAGGGCTGGTGTTCTGTCACTTGAGCCACACAATTCTACTTCCAACTTTTTGCTGGTTAATTGAAGAAGCTCACAGACTTCCCTGCCTGGGCTGGCTTTGAATTATGATTCTCAGATATTAACCTCTTGAGCAGCTGAGTGTGTGAGCCACCAGCACCTGGCTGCATTTTTAAATACCGAGTTTTATATTGATCATTGTTAGTTTCATATATTTGTGCCCTAATGTGTCCAAAAATATCCATAAAACTCATTAGTACGCAGAAAGTAGACAGAAAATAAATGGTTAATCACATTTAAGTTTCACTGAGCCTAAGCTCTTCAAATGTAGGTTAACAATAATGTATGTAGATAGATGAAGATTGCATTTTAAGATATTGAACTAGAGTTAACGTGTTTAAAATTGAATAGAGGCAGAAAATACTCCATTGAGAACTTCGGTGTGTGCGTGCGTGCCTGCCTGTGCATGCACACATCTACGTGAATTTGGAGAGTAAGGATCAGCTGTATTTTTCTTAATGGGAATATCACTGACGAAGCAATGGATACAGTTTCTTGTAGGAAATTACACTCCATTCAGAAACATTCAAGCATAGCTATCTTGGACATAGCAAGCTGTCATTCTATCTCTCTGTTAACAGAGGCCCTTTCCATTATAGAAACTTTGGCAAGACCTGGACATATCCCTCTGTACCACATTGTGCTTGCATGGGACAAGCATGAAGCATGGTCAATAGGAGAAGTATTGTTTTACACTATATTTTTAGAAGTTAGAAATATTTTTTTAAAAATTAGCTTACCTAAGAAAGGAAAACATTTTTAAATTGAAAGCAAAATGCAAATCTCTGAAACAGAAATGGAAAGTTACAAGAATTTTATCCATAAACTTGGCTGAAGAAAAAATACCCACTTTAGATATTGTTAAGTGATTTCAGTGTATATTTTAAGTATAAAATTATTACCAATTAATAGTGGTTATATTACTAAATTGAAGTATATTTTCAGAGTAGAATTAGTACAGATTGATGTTAATTATATGATTTTTGCCATAAAAGTGCTCATGAGATACAAAATATTTTAAATGTTAAATGAGAAAGTACCACAAATAACGAGATTTGGTTGTGAAGTATTAAATGTGACTTTAAATCAGCTATCTTTAGAGTCAGGATGTCTTTCTCTGTTGCATCTCTGATCTCAGTCCCCAAGCTCGCAGCTGTGGGGAGCGGGTCCTGGGTTTTAGCCGGTCCTGTGGCCCGCAGGGGACACAGCCATCCCCGCCTCAGTCTCCTGAGGAGTCCGGGTCTTGGCATGGCTGTCCCCCTGCAGTGAAAACACGGGTGCAGGGCTGTATTTGTTCATATATTGTGTTACTGCAAAGCAGTGCAAATCAAGTGACTTAAAGTGATCATTTTTTGAAGGATTTCAGAAAAGCTTTTAAGCAACGGGAACTAGAGGCAAATGTTGAAATCATACTTCTCGAAATCTCCAGGTGACCTAGGTTTATCGTGATCTAATGAATGTTTAAGAACTTTGTGCCACAGCGTGACCAGCAGGATTGATGGCTTTTTAGCATGTTTCCATTGATCTTGCAGCCCAGCACTTGGATAGATGTGAGAACTCACAGTCTAGCATCATCCTGGGGTTCAGGGTTAGGTTTGGGGGTCGCTGGATGCCCCATTCCACAAGCTCCTCATTGTTCTACCCAATTAAGCTCCCTAGACACCCTTTTCTGCAGCTGGCCGCATACTGAGGGCAAACCCAGGGCCTTTAGCCCCTTTTCACCCTGGTTATTTTCAAGTCAGGCTCTCACTTTAGGCTTGGGCTGGCCTGGCCAGTGATTGTCCTGTCTGTGTGTCCTCATGTTGCTGGAGTGGCAGGTGTGTATTACCCCACAAGTCATTGTCACTCCCTGAGCCAGGATGGCAGGTGTGCATTATTATGCTTAGCCATTGGTCCCGATAGAGCGTTTACATTGTAATCTCCAGATCTCTTTCCCAAGTAGCTGACTGATGTCTTGAACCCCCATACTCATAACGCGGCTCTCATGTTAGCCCACAGGCTCTTCAAGGGTGGGACAGAGTGTGCACAGGCTCTAGATTTTGTGGCACATTGAGATGGGGTCAATTCCTGTATTAGGAATGGAAATAAAGTCTGAGAAATAACCCATGAAGAGCCAGCCATGGCAGAGAGAGGAGAAATTCTGGGGAAAGGACTGAGTTGTGGAAATCCACAGCAGGCACTAGGGCTCGGGAGGGAGGAGGAGATCCAGAGGTGTGGAGCTTCCAGAAGTTTGCATTCATCTGGAACTCATGACTGAGATTTTTAAAGCTTTTCTGTTCCATACCCTTTTGCTTGTTCTTTCCTCAGGCCTATCTAGTGTGTGTGTGTGTGTGTGTGTGTGTGTGTACACGTGTGGAGAACAATGTGGCCAAGACGACACATTGCATGGAAGATCATGGTGCAAGTCTCTCCTTGCCATCTTCAGCCTCCTCACAGTAGCTCTTCGTTTTCCTCCCAGTAAGGTATTTCCAGAAGGCCTCCCGGAGGAATATGCGATAGCAGCTGTGTTTCGTGTGCGGAGAAATACCAGGAAAGAGCGGTGGTTCCTCTGGCAGATTTTAAACCAGCAGAATGTGCCACAGGTAAGAAATTGGGAGAGCTGTGCTGATGCACTCTGCACCTCAGTTTGGGAGCTTGAATCTGAACATTGTGTGTTTGAGAGGACTCGGGGGATATGGCCATCTAACCATGGGGATGAGCTGGTAGATGGGATGGGCCAGATACCTTTTAGCTCTGTCTGAACACTCTGAACAACTACTCTTCTAAATGATTCTGTCCCTCACTAACAATGCCATTTTGCAAGTGATTCATCATCAGTCTTTGGTGAATTATTATTATTATTTTTTCTGTTGGTCATAGGGCTTGAACTCTGGGCCTGGGCACTGTCCTCAGCTCTTCAGCTCAAGGCATGTACTTTATCACTGGAGCCATAGTGCCACTTGTTTTCTGAGTGGTTTATTTGAGATAAGAGTCTCACAGAGGGCTGAGAAGTTGGCTCAGTGGTGGAGCGCTTGCCTTGCATGCCTGAGGCCCTGGGTTCGATTCCTCAGCACCACATAAGTAAAAAGAAAAAAGCCGGAAGTGGTGCTGTGGCTCAAGTGGTAGAGCACTAGCCTTGAGCTGAAGAGCTGAGGGACAGCGCTCAGGCCCAGAGTTCAGGCCCCACAACCGGACCCCAAAAAAAAAAAAAAAAGAGTCTCACAGACTTTCCTGCCCCGGCTGGCTTTGAACCCTGATCTGCATATCTCAGCCTCCTGAGTAGCTAGGATTACAGGCGTGAGCCACCAGCGCCGGCTAGATATTCTTAATATTTAATTAAACATTTTTTTCCTTACCTACACATACCATGTGTTAGGTCATGGCAGAATAAGAGATTTAAAAACCAGAATCCTTGCCCTTATGGAGCACAGAGTATAAGGGGAAGGTGTCTGGGAGAGTGTTTATACCGTGAATGTAGGATTTAGGTGAGCATGAGCCAGAGCAGGGCAGGTATGACAGGGGTGGGGTGTGATGGGCAAGCTTGGCAGGGTGGGGTGTGAGGGGCAGGCCTGGCAGGTGTGGAGTGTGAGGGGAAGGCTTGGCAGGAGTGGGGGTCTCTTGAGATGCAGGCCTGGCAGGGGTGGAGTGTGAGGGGCAGGCCTGGCAGGGGTGATATAAGGGGCAGGCCTGGCAGGGGTGGGATGTGAGGGGCAGCTTAGCAGGGGTGGGGGTCTCTGAGGGGCAAGCCTGGCAGGAATAGGGTCTCTGAGGAGCAGCTTGGCAGGGGTGGGATGTGAGGAGCAGGCCTGGCAGGGGTGGTGTCTCTCAGGGGCAGGTCTGGCAGATGTGGGATGTGAGGGGCAGGCCTGGCAGGGGTGGGGAGTCTAGGAAAGCTTGTGGAGGAAGGACATGTGGTCTGCTTTTAAAAGGATCTTAGAAATTACTTGCTACCATTATGCATTCATATTGCTCCTATGCAGAGTGTTGCAGGGCTCTTTTGTCTTTTAATACAGTTACAATTTTATAATGGGAAGATTGACCTGAGACTGTGTCCGCTTACATTAAATGTATTCTTTTCACCAGGCAAATCATTGAAAGGTCAAAAAAGTTCATGTCAGTTTTCACAAAATAAAATCGTACCTTTATTATTTTTAAATTACTAGACTTGACTCCTCGAGTTACCTAGATAGAATAATTTATGTATAAGTTTATGTTTGTGTGTGTACATAATATCAGTGAAGCAGTATAGTTTGAAATATGAATTGTACTTTTTATATAAATTTGCATTTTCATTCCGAAAAGGAATATGATTGACATTTACCTGAGTGCCAGACTTCTGAGCCATTTGTGGTTTGTGTTACCAAACTTAATAGACAGCATAAAACATTACTCAGTGCTTCAGTTAGGGTTCTTGCATCAGTAATTTTGAATCATGACTCTTAAAACATTTACAGATAACTTTCCCATTTGCAGATTTCCATCACAGTTGATGGAGGGAAGAAGGTGCTAGAATTTATGTTTCGAGCTGCTGAAGGAGATACGTTGAACTACGTGTTTAAGAACCGGGAACTCCGCCCTCTGTTTGACCGCCAGTGGCACAAGCTGGGCATCAGTGTGCAGCCCCGCACTATCTCTGTCTACGTGGATTGCAGCCTGGTTGCAAGCCGCCAGACCAGTGTCCAAGCCACCACGGACCCGCGAGGAAGGACAGCCATTGCCTCCCGGGCTTCGGATGGCAGACCTGTGGATGTAAGTGGTAGTGGAGTTGTAAGTTAGGGCTTTGCATCTCTTCCCACGAGTGCCATATCCCTGCCCCTCTCAGCTCAGTATGCCATGTGTGAAGCATAACAATTCTTTTGCATGGCAATACTGGGGCTGAAGCCTGGGCTCGAGTTCCTTTAGCTTTTTTTAAGCTCAGGGATGGTGCTTTATCACTTGAGCCACAGATCCACTTCTGGCTTTTTGCTGGTTGATTGGAGATAAAAGTCTTGGACTTTCCTACCTGGGCTGGCTTTGAGCTACAATCAGATCTGTTTCCTGAGTAGCTAGGATTACAGGCGTGAGCCTGTTGTCTTCTATTTTGTCTCTTTTCTCTAGTCAGAAAACAGAAAACAATGTGATAATTCCTTTCCATAAAAATAAGATTATTAGATGTACCATAGTAAAAATAAAAATATAACTCAAAACATAAGCTTTGTCTAAAAAAATCATATGTTTCAAATACACAGGGCTAGACAAAGATGAACTTAAAGGATTCCAGATTATCTGCTGTTTTCATTCAAGAACAATAGGCTATTTACTTATATTCAAAGTAGTAATTGCGTTGTATGGCAGGCCATTTTTCCATCCCTTATAATGGGTTTTCAGGGTTCTGTTGAACAGAAATAGTCACTAAGTGTGTCAGTAATCATTTGGATGAGAAAAAATGGCTAGAAAGAACTCAGATGAGAAGATCCTTTAAAAATCACATTTGCCTAGAAAACAAGTGAGATTATCTAAACTAGAAAGCCTGATGTTTTCCTGTGGGTAGAGTGACAGGAAAAATCCCTGACAACATGAGTCCAGGTCACTGATAGTAAATGTCCATGCCGTACCCCCTACCACTCACAGTGGGGTTTCATTGTAGAAACAGCATTGTGCAAACATGGGCTTGAACTCAGGGTCTGGGCACTGTCCTTGAGCTTTTTTGCTCAAGGCTGACACTCTACCACGTGAACTACAGCTCCACTCTGGCTTTGTGCTAGTTAATTGGACATAGGAGTCTCAGGGGCTTTTCTGCCCAGGGTGGCTTGGAATCTTGATTCTCAGATCCTTGCCTCCCGTGTGGCTGGGATTATAGGCATGAGCCACCGGTGCCCAGCTTGCCAGTTATTACTTCTAAAGACCCTCTTTTGAAGGGGTTTTTACATATATATATTATATACATTATATATATGTATATTTAAATGCTTTCTCTTAGAGACAAGACTGTTCTTTCTTCCTGTGATTCTCAGAGAAATTAATGTTGTGAATTATTATTTTTTTAATAGATAGAACTTCACCAATTTGTAATCCACTGCGACACAGACTTCTTAGCTCAAGACCTGTGCTGCAGGGACCCGGCTGCGGTGAGTTGACTGTATTGGAGTGGTGAGAGAAGAGAGCTGGTAGTCTTCAGGTTGGATGGTCTATCAGCTCTCATAGCATCTGAGGGAGCTATAAGAGTAAATTTTTCCATGTAAAGAGGTACTCTTCGCACTTGCCTATAGTTTTCATGAGCTCAGCCCCAGAAATTGCAGTGAATTTTGGGGATACAGTCCCCCACTTTGGACTCAGCATAATGGAAGGAGGATCCATGTCTTTCTACCCCTTATTCTGAGAGCAACACCTTGCTCTGCCTCAGAAACAAGTTCTCAGTTCAGGTTAGACCTTATTTTCACACAGTTCCCAAGCCTGTCACCCCACAGGTGGTATTGGCTGGGGTTCTCTAGAGAAAATAGGTGAATAGTTTATCTGTGTGTACATGTGTCTGTCTGTGTATCGTAACACCATATGTACAGCTGTGTAACTCATATGACTATCAAAGGGGACTTCTTAGGTAGGCATACACAGTTGGAGTCTGGCTGGTTCAGCCATGCTTTGTGCACACTGGCAAGCCAGAGATCCAGAAGTTGCTTGCTTCAAGAAGCTGGAAAGCTCAGAATCAGGAGACAGTGGTGAATTTGTAGCTGGAGGCTTAAGGCTCTGCATTGAACATTCCTCAGTTGAAAGGCTGAGGAAATGGGTCTGATGCTAAGGGTGGTGACAGGTCAGGGGCCATGTGATGCCAGGGGTTTTGGCAGGCCAGGGGTCACAGTGGTAGTGGTGGCAGGCCAGGGACTGTGTGATGCCAGGGATGGTGGCAGGCCAGGGGCCATGGTGGTGGTGGTGGCAGCACACACACCAGTGGGAAGCACATGCTGCACCCATTTGCCTGTCTTCTTCCTGTCAGTTTTGTTCCATCTGGACCCCAGCTGGCTGGACATGCAGCCCACAATCTGAGCCCACCTTTCCTGACTTGCTGTCCCACACATCAGTCATCTCCAAAACCTGCAGACACAGCGGGGGTGGATGACTAAATCTCCCGGTGTCTCTCAACCCTCTCAAGGTGCCAGCCATACTTCACGACACATCCAACCCGGCTAGTTTCCCCTTGCAACAGGTTGTTTTGTTTTTTTGTATTCTCATCCTTTTTTCCCCCTCCTCCTATTATTGTCAAAGTCTACTCTACCTCATATCTGGAATTTTGTGTCATCCCATCAACTCCTCTTCCATCTCTGTCATTTTCCTTGGTGTCATTGCCAGAGTGAGTCTCTGCACCAGTGTTTCATGCATTCATCTAATTTCTTCAGCAAATATTCAGAATCACTGCAGCTCTCATTCCTATGCTAGTGAGCAGAGCCAGGAAGCATGGATATGCATTTTCTTCTCAATGCCTTAGGTCATCTCTGGAGGTAATAAAATATAAATCTAGCTCTGAGCCTCCTTCTAGATATTCTCAACCCACTGTAAACAACTTATACTTTCTTGTGCCTAGATTTTATTCCCAGCAAAATAATGATTCAATACTTTCTATTGCTCTCCTGTGTGCTCTGATATTATTATTATAATTACATTTGTTTTAAATTTACTCAAGTGAAATTTAGATGCAGTGAGAGAGATTTCATATATATATATATATATATATATATATATATATATATGTATTCCTTTTGAGTTATTTTTGCATTTCTAGTGCTTCATTTTTAGCATGTAGCCAGAACATTGTTTCTTGATCTGTTGACTTGTCAACCATGGAAGAAAGTATGTTTGGAAGGGAGTAAGTCTTAGAAATTTACCAAGAAGAACTGAGGAAAACTAAGAAGGAACAAGATGATGAGTGCTTTTTCTTTGGATCTTAGATTTCCTAGAAATTTTGCACTTGCTAGGAAATTACATAAAAATGTAATCAACAGCTTGTCAAAAAAAATGGAACACTTTTCTCATGTACTTTGGGTTGAAAAATAAGAATAGACCAGCTGACACAAAGCATAGCTAAGTGTTTCAACTATGATACATTTTGTTTATGTAACTTGGCTGAATAGAGTCTTCTTCCTGGTTCGTGGCTCCCATTCCAAGTAAAATGAAAGTCAGCCAAATGCCTTTCCATAAATACCCAAAAAGATGACTCAGGATGCCAATCTACAGAGTGAAATACCAAGACTTCCTGGAGCCATACATTTAAATCCTGAAAGTATTGTCTTTCCAAAACTTTCTTAATTTACTATGCTTACATGATATAATAGCTCTTAAGATAATAATTTTCTTTGATTGAAAAAAAGTTAAGATGCTTGATATATTTAAACATATTTTTGATTGACTATGCTCTGGATTATTACATAATAGACATTTCCAACCTGATTTATGATGAGCTATTTATGGTATTGGGTGACGGATTGGAGGAAGTGGTTCAGTAATTAAAAGCTGTCATATGACCTCATATGATGTACATATTATTTTAAAAATAATATTTGGAGAGGATGATTACAGTTAAAATAGCTCGTTTGCAACTGAAAACTGAGTAAGGAAATAAGTTGAATTGCTTTAGGAAAGCATGTAAGAGGAAGAAGGGAAGATGATGAGATTGATCTGAGCATCTTATAAACATGTGGGAATATAACCCCAACTCCCTCACCCCCTATGACAAAGGCAAGCTAGTTGAAAGTTAAAGAAGAATATTTGGGAGTTAATTGTAGAGCAGAAAGTAAATTAGGGATTTATCCCAATGATGGAACAAAATAATTGAAGATTGTATTTTTCATACTGACAATTTTTGGGGTGAGAATTAATCTTTATTCCATGATGGACAGGAAGTAAACACAGACCACATTTCACAAACAGAAATGCACCAATAAGATGAGTCATTATGTAAGAGCCCTTCAGTACATTTGCTACACCTCTTATATACCAACAGTATTAAGGTCTCTGTTTTGCTAAATGTTTATAGAATTTTAATACATGTGTTTAAAATTCTAACTTTATCTTAGAATTTCAAATCACATGCATTGTGGTGTTAACATTTAGAGTAGAAAGTAAATTAGGAATTTATCTTAACTGTAGAATAAAGGTGTATTTATTTTGAGATAATCTTTTTGTGTGTCTGCCAGTAGTCAGATTTGAACTTAGGGCCCCCTGATTTTCATTCAAGGCTAGTGCTCTGCCACTTGAGCCACAGTTTCACATCCAGCTTTTTGCTTGTTAACTGGATATAAGAGTCGCATGTACTTCTCTGGATGGGCTGGCTTTGAACCTGGCTCCTCAGATCTCAGCCTCCTGAGCAGCAAGGATCAGAGGTGTGAGACATAATGCCCAGTTCTTGATCATGGTTCTTCACATCTATTATGATTTTTCACATCTATTAAACAGTCTCTTAAACAGTCAGGTTTCATGACTGTAGACATGAAAAGAATGAAGAGCAGACACAAAGAGAACAACAACACTTGTTGAAAATAAATTACAAATGTGATTAAAAATTTAAAGGTTAGCCAGTGCCAGTGCCTGTGCCTCATGACTTGTAATCATAGCTACTGGGCAGGCTGAGATTTGAGGATCAAAGTTTGAAGCCAGCTAGGGCAGAAAGTCCATGTGACTCTTACCTCCAGTTAACCATCAAGAAAAAAAAGGCTGGGTGCCAGTGGCTCACACCTATAATCCTAGCTATTCAGGAGGCTGACATCTGAGGATTGCTGTTCAAAGCCAGCTCCAGTAGGAAAATCTGTGAGACTCTTTATCTCCAATACCACCCCCCCCCCATACCCTCCCCGAGCCAGAAAACCAGAAGTGGCACTGTGGCTCAAGTGGTAGAGTGCTAGTCTTGAGCTGAAGAGCTGAGGAACAGCACCCAGGCCCAGAGTTCAAGCCCCATGACTGACAAAAAAAAAAAAGAAGAAGGAGGAAAGGTTAATTAAATATCCATCAAATCAAAACCAGAAGAGATTATGAGGGATGTGCCCTTACTTGTAGTTTTACTTTCATTGGGAATTTTGGAGGAGGTGGACCGATTTTTAATGAATTCTAGCATAGTTTCAAACTAAATCCGCCATTTCCTCCTAAGTATTCAGGGCAAAAGGTTATCTGACTGAGAACTTCTGGGGTTTCACATGGATTGGATGAATTGTTTACTGATAATCTTACTTCATTTGAATATAGTCTTTTTCTTTCTTTTTTTTTTGTGGTGGTACTGTTATTTAAACTCATTGCTTCATGCTGCTTAGGCAAGTGCTCTACCACTTGAACCACACCTCCAACCCTTTTTGCTCTGGTTGTTTTTGAGGTAGGGCCAACCTGGGCTGTAGGCCTCCCGTGTACCCTTCCTTTCTGGCTTCATGACAGGCCTGTGGGGAGCTGCCTCCCTGTCTAGTGCCCCAGGTAGCCTCCTTTGTATCTGGGATTGCAGGCATGAGCTTCTACACCCAGCCACAGGGATATTTGTGTTTTGTTTTGATAGTACTAGCCAGATGTTCGAGTGTTGGAGCCATACCCCTACCTGGTTTTTTTTTAAGGAAAATGTTCATTTCTTTTAGCCAAATTTCACTTCATGCTGTCCGACATACTCTACAAACTGTCTAGATATGTTTTAAGGCCACCATTTGTATGTTTTGGTGAAGACTATTTTAATATCTTTAAAGGTCCTGGCCTGGAGTTAGGTGTACTTCGATTAAGGAACTATCAACTTAGGGTATGGAAAAGAAACATTTTCTGCTTTACATGCTATACAAGCATTTTGTGGAAAAATTATGTTTTCAGATTCAAATTTCATGTTTTTCCTTCCATTTTCCTTCCATCTATTTACATTTTGCTTGTATGTATAAATTATTTTAAGAGAGTATTCGAAATGCTCAAAACCACTGCACTTAACTACTAAAGCCTGAAAAATCCTCATTAGCTTATCAGTTTTCTATTGTTTTGTTGTTTGTTTTTGTATCTGTGCTAGGTCTTGATCTCAGGGCCTAGGCACTGTCCCTTAGCTTTTCCCCTTAAGCCTGGAGCTGTACCACTTGAACCACAGCTCCACTTTCAGCCTTTTGTCTGCTAATTGGAGATGAGAGTCTTGCAGACTTTCCTGCCTGGGCTGGCTTTAAACCAGGACCCTCAGACTTCAGCCTCCTGAGTAGCTGGGATTATAGGTGTTAGCCCCCACTCCTGGCCACGTCAGGTTATTTGTGACAGAGGTGTGGGATATTCTCACACACTGGTGTTCTCTAATCAGAGGAAGCCCTGACAGGCAGCGGCCATCATGGGTGGGGCGGGAGCTAGGGCTGGAAATGGACCTCATTCCTCTAACTCCTCCCTTTGGATTTTAGTGCTCAGAGCAGGCAGAATTTGGAAATCCTGTTGCATCATCCGTAATGGCTCATGCTGGCAAGAGTCCTCCAAATCTGCTGAAGCAGGAACTGAGAAACCTGTGCCACTGTGTGCCAGAGCAGGTATGCGGGCTGAGAGACCAGGTGTGCCGACTCTCAAACCAGGTGTGCGGGCCCTTAGAGCAGGCATGCAGGCTGTAAGAACAGGCATGAGGGCTGTAAGAGCAGGTGTGCGGGCCCTTAGAGCAGGCGTGGGTGCGGACCTTGCTCCACACTGAGCCAGATGCCTTCCCTGGCTGCCTTGTCCTTTGGTACAAGGGGTATCAGATCCTATGTCTCCCATGTCCGGTGGTCATAGCAAGGCAGATGGAGATGAGGTTCTGAGTGTGTGTGTGTGTGTGCCCCTACTACGGCTTGAACTCAGAGCCTGGGCATAGTCTCTTAGCCTTTCTACTCAAGGTGCTTTACCACCTGAGCCAAACATTTACTGGGATGTTGTCAGCCTATCAGACCTAGATTTGCCGAATCTGAATAGAATGAACAGTGAGGAGCTGCAACACATGCAGAACACGTATGCAATATTTCTCTTTTGCATGATGATTCTGCGTCCAGGGTCCCCAACTTCCCAGCCAGGCATGTCTCTTCCTCATAGGGTATGTGTGTGGGTATATATGTATGTAGGTAGGTAGGTGTGTGTATATTTGTGTATGTGTGAATGTGTGTATGTGTATATATGTGAAGTGTGTAGATTGTGTAGATGTATGTATGTATACATGTGTGTATGTATATATATATGTATGTGTTTGTGTGTGTATTTGTGTGTGTGGGGGCTTCAGATTCCTTCACTGGCACTCATGTGGTTCCTGTATTGAGCAGCACCAGAGAGCACTCTTCTCCCTAAGTTTGAACACAGGTGAGGGGAAGCCAGGTCTACTGAGGGAAGTAGCCTGAAGGAGAAATGCTGATACTGTTGGAGGACCCAAGGGTCTCAGGCCTGTGCCCAGGAGAGGGAAGCTCAGAGGATGGAGGTTTGCAGCCAAGAGGATGGAGCGCTAGCTTCATGTGTGACTGCATATCGGGCCTCGGAGCAAGGCAACACAACATTTGCTAATATTGACATTCATCTCTGCTCAGGGAGAAGCAGGCTTGCCAGCACCTCCGGGTTCACCTGGGCAGAAAGGAGAGAAAGGAGAGCCGGTAAGTGCGGCCGTGTCCTCTGGGGACCAAGGGTTTGTTCACACCTGACTTAAAATTGGGGCCCTCTTTCCTACGTTCCATATATATGCCTGTCTTCAAGATGATATTAAGATGCCCCTGCCCACCACTGAAGAACAAAAGAGTAAATTGTTCATTCTCCTCTCTTCTGTGCGCATACTGAAAGGCTTACTTGACCTATGAAAAGATCTAGAACTTTCACCAAGCATATTGCTTGCTTTCTAAGCCATCCTGAAGGAGGCCTCTTGGGGTGAGTTTGGTTTTATAAGTGACTTGATGGAAAAAAAAAAAAGATTTCTCCACTTGTGAGCTGTCCAGTGCTCGGGCACCAGGGTCCCGAGTGATTGGTGCTGTGCCATGACCATCAGGTGTTGACTGGCAGCATCTTTTGTCAGAGGAGTTTTGAATCTTGAACTCAATTTGCTCTCAGTATCTGACCCCTTATGCATAGAGTATGCTAGCATTCGAAAATTTCTACCAGTGTTAAATTCAGAGGAGTGAATTGATCAGGGGCTGAGATCTGGGGGATCACAGTTTGAAGCCATCCTGGACAGGAAGACCTTATCTCCATCTAATCAGCAAAAAAAGCCACAAAATGGAGCATCAGCCTTGAACAAATAAAGCTCAGGAACAATGCCCAGGCCCTGAGTTCAAGCCCCAGGACTGGCAGAAAAAATAATTACTATCTCACTTCTATAGCATTTGTATTGCTGCCTGACATATGGTTATGATGCATCTATGTACTTTCCCAGCACTGATGTGACTTGGATAAGTTCCACACAGAGAACAACATAAATAGGATCTAAAAATATACTGGAAGAATGAATGAATGCTATACCTACAGGAAAGTCTTAAGTCATTAAGTCAGCTATTTCTAGAGACCCTAAGTTTTATTTCCCCATTGCTTCGGAGATTTTTCACAGGACAGAATTACTTTTGGGCATTTACCCAAATGATCACAAACAAGACCATACTAAAGCTACCAGCACAACTATGTTTATTGCAGCATTATTTACCATAGCTAAGATATGGGACCAACCCTCAGTAGATGAATGGATCAAGAAAATATGGTATATATACACAATGGAATTCTATGCCTTCATCAGAAAGAATGACATTGCCCCATTTGTTAGGAAATGGAAAGACTTGGAAAAAATTATATTAAGTGAAGTAAGCCAGGCCCAAAGAAACATAGGTCCCATGGTTCCCCTTATTTGCAATAACTAGTATATGTCTGAGACAAGAAGAGAAGGTCAGATAAGTTGATGTTAGGTGAAATGAACCCCGAGATATGTATTCAAATGTTTTTTCTTTCATGCAGTTGTTTCTAACATATTTATAAGATGATTTTTTTGTTGCTTTGTTATACCTCCACGGTATAACACCTACTTTCACTGTATTTGATGTTGGTATAATTTGTGGAGGGGAAGGGAAAAAACAAATCATTTAAATAAGGATACAGGTGGACCCATTGCAACAAATGAGATGTACAAGACGTTATGTCGAAAAACGAACTTTACAACTTTGGTGGTGGGGGGTGAGGGTGGGGTTGGTGTAATGGAGTTGCGGGGAGGGTAATGCGGGGGGAATGGGAAGAGGAAACAAAGGAGGAGGCAACAATGCTTGATAAGAAATGTACTCATTATCTTGCCCATGTAATTGTAACCCCTCTGTACAGTATTTTCACAATAAAAAAAGAAAATAATTACTTTGCAAGGAAAAGCTATGATTTTCCCTTTGGAAAACAAAAAACCTTACATGGTGATCTGACCACTTGTATGCTGGTTAGATCATGAAGAGTTAGAACTATCCAGAAGCAATGCCAGCCAGGCACTGGTGGCTCCTGTCTGTAATCCTAGCTGCTCAGGAGACTCAGACCTAAGGATCAAGGTTTGAAGCCACTCTGGGCAAGGGGGCTCCCATGACTCTTATCTTCAATTAATCAGCAAAAAGCTGGAAGCAGAGGTATGGTTTAAGTGGTAGAGTGACAGCCTTAAATGAAATAGAGCATGAGACCCTGATTTGAGGCCCTAATATTGGCAGGGAAAAAAGTATCCCCAAGTGTTTATTGATTATTTATTATTTGCTTACTTTTCATATACACTGTGATAATTTATTAGTATGATTTTCTGGTTTTGTTCTTTTTTTTTTTTTTTTATAAAACCGATGACTGCTTGTCATGGAGTCATACTACTATGTGCCTTTAAATACAAAGCTGTGACACAGTCTCCATCAGGACTCCTAATCAATCTACTATAGTCCTATTTTCTGCCCAAGACTAAACTCTGTGGCATTATTTGAAATAATAACAAATACCTTTTTCATCCAGACTCAATTATTATTGTTTTTTGAATCTTTAAATTCCTTTGCTAGCAAATACAGTTAGCAGCTTAATTATTTAGCAGCCACATTATGTTGTATTTCTTAAAAGCTTATTAATAACGTCATCCATTCCAGAGTTGAAATTCTCTGATTTTAAGTATCAGCTAAGTTTTAATATTCCTGCATGAAAGGGAGAAGTACTGCATCTCCAGTTAATTCCCCCAAATACGTTAGCTTTATGAAATAATTGATTTGCTGATATACTTGGAGAGAAAACAAAAACACTAAAATTTGTTAACTTGTGGACAGACAAGTTGCCTTCTTTCCATTCTCCCACCTGTCAACTGTGAGGGGTGTCTAGCATAGGTGAATGTACTAACCCTGGAACTGCTCATGGTTTTCTGTTATTTTCTTCTCTACCTGACAGTAGTCATTGGCCACTTTCCAGCCACATCACACTCATAGAAATTAAAATGTGGCCCCACTTGCTCAAGGAACAGGTGCCTGCTGAACTTGCAGAGCAGGGACCAGTGAGTGTGTTTCTGGCATCTATGTGTAGGCAAATGCAAGGATAGGAAAAGTCTCTTCACCCTTTCTCCTTCCAACTACATTTGTGTCATTGGTTGGCAGGTCTTTTAATCCAATCTGATAGAATCTCATCTAATCTACAGGATTTGAAGGTGAAATTTACTTGTGTATCTTAAATCTGAAATTAATGAACCATGCTATGTTAAGGATGTATTGTAGGCTCATACAATTTTATTTCTTAATCTCTGCCTGGCATAGGGCAGAGCAATTCATTCCAAATGTTTGTGGTGTTCCGCTTATCTCTCAGCTAACCAGGCAACTGTGGCGACCCATGGCTTCATTGGGGAGATCTTTCGTCTTTCTTGGCAGTGTAGACAGGAGAGAAGGTGAGGCATGGGCCAGCCACAGGACAGCCAGGCACACTAAAAGGATACTGATAATATGGTGCTTTACAGGCTGAGGGTACGTGATGTTTAGGAATTGAGAGATTACTTGAAAGGCCAATCAAGTTACTTCTCGCATTAATCCCTCATTGTTGATAACATAAAAGAAATGACCAAGTGGAAGGACATGTGTTTATATGTACATGAGTTCTAGTTTCATTCAACTAGATGTTCACAATTGGCGTTTAATAATTAATTGTCATAAGTCTAATGACTGGTGGAGAATATGAGGAAAAACCTGAAGTATAGACTTTGATGTAAAGAAACAATTCATGTACAAAGTTACATTTTCGCCTAGTATTATAGCTTAAACTTTGGGCTGGGTCACTACCCAAGGTGCTTTCTTGCTCAAGGCTAGTTCTCTTCTACTTAAGCCACATCTTCATTTCCACCTTTGTGTAGTTAACTAGAACTACGAGTCTCAAGGACTTTTCTTCTTGGGCTAGCTTCAAACTGTGATCCTCAAATCTCAGCCTCCTGAGTAGCTAGGATTACAGTGAGAGATCTCAACTTTAGCATTTCGTAGACATCTCAAAAACTCTCATGAGGCAGGTACTGGTGCTCACACTTATAACCTTAACTACTCCAGAGGATTCCAGGTCAAAGCCAGTCTGAGGAGAAACATCCATGAGCCATCTCCTAAGTAAGCAGCCAGCAGTCAGGTTGCTCAAGTACAAGAGTGCCTTCTGGGCAAGCAAGCTGGCAAGTGCAAGGCCCTGAGTTCAGATCCCATGTTAGACAAACAAACATCATCAAAAGAAAATCTCCAATGGACAATTTATATATTTTAGGGTACAGCTGGTGGAAAAGGAGAACTTGGTGCTCCTGGAGCTCCTGGGGAAAAGGTATGTTGGTTTGGTTTTTGATTGATCTTTGTGGCTATTTTATTTAAAATTGTATCACACAGAATGAGGGAAATGCATGGAATGGATTTATAGTTCAGAGGTCAGTAAATTCATGGAATGGGTCCTGCAGTGGCATGGACAGTCACCACTGTGTGACTTTGTAAATCACAATGTCATATGTCTCCATGTGTTCTGAGAGACTGTGCCACACAGCAGGACTACTTAACTATGGCAGTGACAATATGACCATCTGAACCTGGCATGCTCACTGCTGGCCCTGGGGTGAAAGCTCACTGATGCTTTTCCCAATAATGCTGCAACTCTGATATCAGCTGGGAGGCTTCTCAAATGTACCCTCATACATGTCATGAAACAGATCCTTAAAATATATTCACTGCAGACAAAAAGCCTCATGAGATTTTGTAATGAAAAATGGAATAAGTATCTGTCCATCAGATATCATCTGTGGTACTTAGCTCATAAAAGGATGCTGTTCATATTTCTTCTCTAATAATGCACAGATGATTCTAAGTATCGAATTCACTGCAAAAGGCAACAGTATTACAAGTTAGATGTTGTTCAAGTTGAGAAGCCAGTATGATGGCTGCATACCTGTAACTCTAGAACTCCAGTGGCTGAAGTGGGAAGAGCATGAACTTTTAGCTTTTATATAGTCATAAAAAATTTATATTCATATGTCAAACTATAATTATTTTATTTTCCACTATAAATACTAGTATTAGTATGAATATGAAATTATTAAAGCTTTTACATGTTGATGTTAAGAAGATTCTCTTTACCAAAATAAGATTCGTATACATTTTGTGTGTGTGCATGTGTTATC